CACCTGCCCAGAGAAATCCGGGCTCCTCCGCAGTCAGGCCCTTCACACCCAGGGCTCAGCTTCCCTCACCGCTCCTTCCCTGCAGTTGTAATCTCCAGGCATCAGGAACCACTCGCATCCCCAGATGCAAGAGTGGGCCTCTGTGTGCAAACTGTTGACGGACCGGGGCTGCCAAAATCCTGCTCCGTCCCCGAGGCCCAGCCCAACAGTGACCCGACCCCAGGGTGGCTTCCCCAGTACCCGCCAGCCCCAGCACTGCCAGCCAGACCTCCCCTCACCCACCAATTATTCCAGTCAGTCTAACACCAAGATTGAAAAATTGGTAGGCCATGGGATGTAGGCCAAGGTAATCTGTAGTGGATGAAAATGTTTTAAAACAGGTACCAACATTTTTAAAAATTGAGCAAATTCACATAAAATTCTAGATGTATGGCTTCTCTTTGAAATTTTGGTCTTACAACACTATATATACATGTATTTCTTCATGTTTTATTCAAGTATTTTATGATTTCATTTTTTAAATATTTAAATCTCTAGCTGAAATTTACTTCGGTGTAATGAATGAAGAATTCTTTTCCCTCACATGGTTATCCCACTATATTATAGACAAAACTTCCAACAAACCCAGTTTCTAGATTTGGGTCATGCTGCTTTCTCACATTAAAGAACACGTTAGTTTAGCTCCTCTGGGACTCCAGAGCTGATGGGATATCAAACTCACCCTGTAGTTTTGGACAGGAAAACATTAACCCGAACCAGTTTCCCAGACTGAGTAACTATACTTTTCTGACAAACCCTAAGGTTTCTGAGGAGAGCACTTGAGAAGGGACAGGGTCACCACAGCCAACATGGTTGCCACAGAGGAAGGGTGAGGCCAAAACCTCATTGTATTTAGCCATAGTCCCCACAGAGCCAGATGATTCCTGTGAGAAGGTCTGCCTTTGTTCCTTGTCTAATGGTGTAATGGGTGCCTTTGGACCACTTGTCACAGTAAATGCTGGCCAAGATGATCTCACCCTTTCTCAGGGCTTCATTTAGTACATCCATGCAAATGACTCGCAAGTCCTCAACTCCAGTCCTCCTGTTAAAACCATTGCAGAAGCCCTTCCAGCTTGCCTATATGCTATTTCTACATGGATATCCCACAGGCTCCTTCAGCGCAACACGTTCTAGTCCAAACTTATCATACTCCCAAATGCTTCTGTGGTTTCCAATCTCAATCATCTACATCAGTGTCCTTCTAGTCACTCAGTCCTGAAACCACCATCCTCCTCCATAATGGCTCTCCAGTCCACTCCCCTCTTCTCCCCCATGGCCACTATCTAGTTAAGACACTTATCTCTGGCTAGGACAACACTAAGTTTCTAACATCTAGGTCCTCTCACATCTCCTTCACCTCATCCTTTAAACTTCCCCCAGGTGTCTGATGGGGTTGTTCCCAGCTGAGAAGTTCCCCATTGCCTACAGAATTAGAGTCCCAAGTCCAAAAAAGCAGCATTCAAGGCCTTCCATGCTGTTTACCCCAATTTCCCTTTCCCCCATTCCTACCATCCCCATACCTCTGCCACCCACTCTGCGCTTGTATCATTCCATTTGACAGACTTCTCAATTTTTCAGGCTATTCTATGTGGGATGCCTGTTAACCTCTGGCCATCCTTCATCAAGGCTCTGACCACCAGTGGCAAAAAATCTCTCCTTAGTCACTTGAGACCTGTGCTGTCCACTGTTGCCTCTAGCCATGTACAGCTATTGGGTGCACACAAGGTAGCTTCTCCAAATGGAGATGTGCTCTAAGTGTAAAACGTACTGGATATAAAAGACTTAGTACTTTAAAAACTATAAAGCATCTTAATTTTCTATACTGACACATTGAAATGATTTTTGGGATATAATGGAGTAAAAACTTGTACAAATTTCATGTTTCTTTTCACTTTTATTTATGGGGCAACTAGAACATTTAAAATTTTGTATGCGGCCCACATATTTCTATTAGACAAAGCTGTTATAGATACTCTGTATTTCCACAAGCCTCCATTTATACCTAATGCCTTTCTTCAGTCAACCAAGAAAGGGACGCCACCTGTGGACCCTGTTGTAGCACTCTGACAGGCACTGGAGATACAGTAGTGAAAAAACAAGCCTCTGACCTCAAGGAGTTTACGTAAGCCTGGGGAGCTTGTATTCTAGCTGTGACTTATAAATGGATACCAGTCTACACAACTTTGCTCAATACTGAGCACAAAGGAAAAAAATAACCAAGTTCTAACCGCACCCTCTACTCATGCTCTCAGGTTCTCCCAAAGATGACATCACACGTGGTAAATGAGATTGATAACATTTTGCGAAACAAGCCCTACAGCAAAAAGGACTACAGATCCTAAGGCAGTGCATGAGCCACTGGAGCTGCATGGTTTAATGTGCGGTCTACACTGGTACGGAACAGTGTTATCAGCCATTCTTTTGAATCACTTAGCAGCTTGCTGCTGAACCTCTAGCGTTCCTGGATTCTGAGGTGTCTGCTGTCGCTACCACTGTGCACCTGAATTACGAGCACATCTGAAAACTCACAACCAAGAAAATCCATTCTATTTTCTTATCTTGGACTGGAATCACCTATTCCTGCATTGCTCTGTACACCTCATGCTTACGCAATGTATAGTATTAGGTGGGAAAACTACCCTCAGGCATTTAGTACTTAAAAGAAGGCTGTACAGATATATTTTTTCAAATGAACAAAATCCACAGATGCAATGTGGATTGCATCAGAAAGAGGTCTTTATGAGAAGTCTTGCTTGAGAAAATAAGCAGAAGCAATTCTACATTTCTTTTTTCTATTTTCACATTAAGGTTAGCAAGAGTTGTATCTCTTGTCATTCAACAATACTGAAATTCCTACACATTTGCTTTCATTGACTTTTAAATATTCACTGTTGCTTGGCTCCAAGAATGGCCCTGAGTAGCAATTTACCCAAGATGTCTATTAGGATTCTAATAATGCTATGTCCATTTACATGTAGATGGTAAAAGAATGAACAGTCTTTAAGACATTTGGTTAATTTATCAAAGGGAGGACCACAGTGGTATGGAAGCTTAGCTTTGAATAAAATGTAATGTGTTTGCAGTGAAGTTTTCATTTTTTACTATATTTTATTAAAACCTGCTTTATACTTTTGACTGCTTATAGGCACAGCTTCTGCAAATTTAAATATTTGAGCTTTAAAAATAAATACACACATGCTCAGTTTGCTAAGTAAACCTGTAAAATACCCAGAAAGGCAAATATTTGTTGTTTAATTAGCACTGGGATTTTACAATATAATCCTTGGGTTTTTGAGGAGTTATTAACGTGAGAGTGAATCACGGGCTTTGTGAAAAATGCTGTCACTACTTAGCATATGCTGGGTGAATTAACTTGCCCATTAAAAAACAAATGTCAAAGAACTTCCTGATTCTATAATCATATTATATGCACTAAACTATATGCATGAAAGCTCTTTTGCATGGACTAAAGAGGCCTAGCCTTGTTGCACTCAGAAGCCAGGTCTATCTAGCCCTGCCACTATTGGCTACCTACCTACCTTCACGAATATTCCACCAGAGAAATTTGTGAGAATATATTATGTGTACCTGTAGGAAGGAGAAAACATTTTTTTTTGGAAATGGGGAGGGGGGTTCCTATCTATTTGGACACCTGTGTACAAAATTTTAATTGGATTTCCCAGATAGCAGGACCCCCATCTAGAAATCACTTTGAAACTTAAATACACCATAAGCTTAAAATGCTTTTTCTGCCATCGTTTCCAGAAATGTATTTCATGGTTAAGTTCGAAATGTTAAAATGTTAGTGTGAAATACCAACAAATTTTTTTTTTGATCACTACTTCCTGTATTGTAATAGGGAAATAGTTTGGGTTTTTTTGTTATCAGATTAGTGATGGAAATGGATCATTTTTCAGTTGTTCATTGTGTATTCAATAAATCCAGTGAACTACTGTATGCATTAATGAGCTGAAGTTGTCTAACTGGACCTGCAATTTAACTTACTTGCTTAGTGTAATAAAAGCATTTTGTGAATTGAATCTCTCAATTTTTATCTGTTCTATTATTATAAGGCATTATGTGTGTGTGTGTGTGTGTAAACATACACACCCATCTCCATAAGTAGGCAGTAAGAATCATCTGAATAAAAATCATGTTGGCAGGTAAACTGCCCTGAATGACACCTAACAGAAATAGCAATGATCAAAAGATTTAAATTATAATCCAAGGGTCAAGGGTCTTCAGATAGATGTCAGATCTTCAAGGGACCTCGGCTGTCTTTGAAACCACCCCTTACTGGCAAGTGAGGAAAACCGGACCTAGAACCCAAGGTTTTTGTGTTCCAGTCCTCTTAAGAACTCTTTTTTTTTTTTTGCTTTATGAATTGTGTATGTGAATTGCTAGGCTAAAAAAGTTGGGATATGAATCCAAATTCAGGATCAGTTAAGAGGCAAAGGTCAGAGATACAGTGAAATATGAGTCACTGGGCAGCTGGTTTCTAGCCACCTCCACGCAACTCTCAATCACTTAAAAAAATCCTTCCAATCTTCAAACTTTCCTAATTCTCAATTAACTGCCCTGCTTGGGCATCCAAGGAGGTGGAAGATAAGGTCTTACAGCCCAAGTAGATGTGTCTGTAGATGTGTTCCCTCTTTATCTGGACATGTCGTGGATCCTGCCTGTCTCCAGATACAACAGTGATGGGCATGCATATTGAAAACATAAAACCTGGGTGTGGGTGGGCAGGACAGCAGAGCAGGCTCAAACTGGCAGAGAGGCCTGACCTTCCGCTCTGCAATGTAACTGCATGATGCCCAGCACAGCCACACATCTGATCAGTAACTACAAAGATACGCACTTATATGTGTTGGAAACTACAATAATTGTGATGTAAAATAACATAATAAAGATAATGTGCTTATTCACATCATTTTTATAAAGAAGTCTAAGGGAAATACAAATTTTAAAAAGCAGAAGTTTAATGATACTTGATAAGCAAGATCTTTCACAAGAGTTTTGGGTACGAATCCAACATTTGTATTTCAGTGAACTTCAAACCTTGTTTTAAACTGTTCCAAGTTAGAATAATATATCAAACAGGACAAGCAGTAAATTTTTGGCTAATAATAATTTGACTAAGAATAATTCCAATCCAAGATTTTTTATTAAGCTTTAAGTAAGGGAACTAAAAATAGAGAAATGTAAAATGTTCCAACAATGTAAGGCTTTAACATAGGAGTGTGAAAAGGAAATTTAATCACTTCAAATCCCAATTACAGCAGCACCCTTTTTATTTTACTGGTGTCGTACATGAGGCCTTTTTAACAAAAATTCAATGGCAGGTTTTTACCAACTAAACTAGATCCAGCACATCATAATTCTATGTGCCACATAGCCATTACAGTTGATGGAGAGAGAACTGGGGAAAGGTTCTACAAGTCCCAAGACTAAAGTATTGGTACAGAAACACCTAATGAGAACTGTGGAATTGTGAGTATATGCCTTAGAAACTTATGCACAGAAACTTAATCTAACAGTATGGAAACCATTATCAGAATTAAAAAACAAAATGTGCTATTGGTAAAATTCAGGACCCAAACCAAATTTTGTTTATATGCTTTTCTACAACTTAGTTTATTGGTTCAAGAAAAATTCTATTGAGAAAATTAAGCTGATGGCCCTATTTCACCATCGCATCCCAATACACTATTACCAGAATGGTGGCAATTTCCCCCATCTACACAGGCACTGCCATCTAGTGGCAATTTTTTACCTGCACCTTAAAGAGATACTTGGCCCAGCTCCAGTAATAGCTGACACTGATTGTTTGTCAAACATTGTTTTCCATTTGGTACACAAACTCCACGCCACCAATCAAACCATGGACTGGTTATTTATATACAGAAAAAAAGTTAAAACATGATGAAAAGAAACCTTCACAGTGAATCTCTCCTGACTTCCCCAATCATTCCATTTTATCCAATGATGTCACATGAATAATAATGCACCGAAGAAAAGCAAAGAATTTAAAACTTTCAGAAACAATGATGAAATGCTACCCTCAGCTGAAGACAATGACAATCTGGGTAACTATGCACATGTACTCCTGCCCTTGTCTTCCTGCAAAGTTCTTGGACAGGGCCTACTAAAAATTCTAACAGCAGGCAAAGTAGAAAAAAAATTGAAGAATACTTTCTGTACACTTACAAATGAAACAGTGAATGTCATTTGCAACATTCACCTTAAATTTAAATGTGGAAACCAAAGATTAAAATTAAGATTAGGAATTGGGGATATGATCTTTCTTTTCAAGGAGTGCTTGTAGGAAATTACTGGATGTGGGCAAAAGCTAACAGAAGTACGAGCCCATATCAACTGTGATTTTACCACCTTTTAATATAGTTTAAAGAGCTTCCCAAACTTTTTGAAATCATGGCACACAAAGAAATGAAAATTACCTCTACACACACTGGTTTGAAAATGCAAGAGACTGCTTCCAGTTGAACCCCCGAAGGCTGAAGAGATCATTATTTTGCTCATAATCAATGGGAAACTTTTGAGTAAAGGATCACATTTATGAAACTCCTAATAGGAAAATGCTGACAAGCACTAAAACTATAATTCCTTGGATGGCTCTTAGAATTCTGGAACTAAGATCACAAAAATTATTTTGGTTTATCACACATGAATATTCATTCAGGAAAGAGATTCTCTTACTGAACATTCCTCTAGTGGTATGAGACCCTGGTCAAGGAAACAATGACTCCAGTCTCTTAACAGGTCAAACCAACATGGCAGGGTCAAGCTGACCTCCCTGGCCACCCAAGGCCAAAGCTATAAGCTGAACAGTGTGTACTTCAACCCCACGGGACAACTCTCAGATGCCTGAACGCTATTTTTAAGTTATTACCTTGGCTGCCTTTCTCTTTATAAAATAACTTTTCCACAAGTTTCTCTTCTCCAAGTTGGTGACACCATATTTTTAACTTTCAGCTATTTCAAATCACAAATTCAGAGACTTGTAAACATGAGCCTTCTGTTCAATCCCCCAAGGGAAGAGGATTTCGTTCTCATATTTATGGTCCAAAATAAGTTGTAATATGTGCTTGGAACACATAGAACCAGTTATTAACTTCTCACTACTATTATAAATAATAACAGCTCAGTCCAGGTTACTGTGACCTGTGACAGATCAAGGAAACAAGTTATTTTCTCCTCTTGTGATTATAGCACACTGCGAGACATTTCTTGCCTTTTAATAAACATACTGGTACTCTGAGTTTCCCCTTCAATTAATTTAATTTCAACAATCTGTCAAAAAAGAGCCAATAAACAAATAGTGACTTCCATTTTGTTGGGTTTTTCAAACCCTCAAACTCCAGACTATAAAAACGTCTTGTGTGTCTCCCACCCTGACCACCCTGCCTCTTTCCCATATACCACAGGCCACCCATAGATACAAAGCCAGGGGGTGAAGCTGATGTGGTCTACTTGGAGCCAGTAGACAGGAGGGCGATGAGGCCTGATGAAGCACTTATGGACAAAATATAGTTCCTATTAAGAATTTAATGTTAAGGAAAAATTAAGAACCCAAAAATAGTTTCCAAAAAGACAGAAAGAGCCCATCCCTTGGGAATATACTGTCTCCCCGCTGGATACTCTGTATAATGACAATGATGTACTGTCAGTAAACAATTTTTAAGACAGGAGACTATAAAGAATGAAGAACATTCACAGGACATGTGATCCAATTTAAAAAGAAAATCTAGAACACAGGATCACAAAGAAAACATCTGAATTCCATTTAACCTTCAGAAGAGCTGATCAAAGAAAATGAGGAGGAAGAAGAGACTTGTTTTTTTAACCCCAAGAGCAAAGGAAAAATAAGTCTCTTTTGTCCATCCATGTTTTGGCTACAGTTGGCCTGTAAAAGCAAAGAGGTTCTCAAAGTTCGAAGCTCTTCTCAGCTTGAGGACTAGACTGTTTGGGGCAAACAGTTGGAAGGGATCTGACATTTTATTACATCACTATCTCTAACTGAGAAAATTCGCTGCACATTCCTGGGTAACACCTTTAATAAATTACCTTCGCAAGGGAAGATTCTTGCCCAAGTGCCCAATTTAAGAGCAGCCAGAAACACTGTTAAGACACTGTGAAATGTGCCTATTTACACTGGCTATCCACCCAACCCCAAACCCCAAAATATCAGCAGATACATGGGCTTCTGCCAGAGCGATCAAAGAAGGCAAGTCAGCTTTTGTTCCTTGGAACTGGTTTTAAATAGGCAGGTATACATAACCATATATGTGAGACTACTTTATAATACCTGGCATTTATCATGAAGCCATACTTTATAACTTAAATTTAAATCAAACCTAAAGCTCTTGTTTTAAAAATCCAGAAAGCGCCTACAGTCACAGTGCTGTTTAATGCACTAACTCCCTGAGTAGTTGTCTTTCCACTAAAATATTCAGACAAATCAAAATCAAAACAAACTACTGTTTCCAGACTTCCAAAAAAAGAGAATCAACCTTCAAAAGGATACACTGTGGGGTTGAAATTCTTCAATATAAAGAAGGAAGCAACAATGACCAAGAGCAGGAATAGGGTGTTGTTATAGAAGATGGAAAATGTTGTAGCTTCGTAATCAGCAACTTCATTCTTCTTCCACAGGATTCTGCAGATACAGAAGCAAGTCAATCAAGTTTATGAATATGTATTGAAAAATGTAAATACCACATGGCTCTAGTGCATTTTAAGTTTTTCCTTAAGTGTTCTGGGCAGAATGTGTTTTTAGTATTAAATCAGTCAGCAGCAGTTCCCTTTTTTCTGCTGAAAAAGGTAATTTACTCTATTGATGCTGAAAAAAACAGTTGCTGGGTATATTACCTTTTTTCCCAGGCAGCCAGAGCTCTGGAGGAAGGCACTGATAAATGGCAACTCACTTGGTTTCATCAGTAGCCAAAACAGGTATCTTTCTCTAGGTCCTTGTCTAAACAAACTCAATCGTTGGCAGCCTGATAAAAGTTTCCTTGGCTGTTGAGACTCCAGCCTACAGACTTCAGCCTTCAGTATCGCAAGCCCAAGAACAAAACTAGCTGTGGCCTCACAGCAGCAAACTTGTCTATGACTATCTTTAGCCATCTTTACTTCACTCCAAGAATCTGCTTGATTATTAGGAAGATTTTTACTTTTTAAAAACCTATTTACTTTTTATTTAATCCATTTTACTCATTACGAGTTTATTAATTTACTTTTTTTTTATCAACCTCTTCTTTTACCTCTTCACATGGGCAATAGGAAGTTCCAGGGTGCCTGTGAATAAAGAAGCCTTTATTCCTCTTGGTTAATTAAGTTTGTAAAGCAGTTTTTAAAAGGGTTAGACTGTTACCCATTAGTGGGCCATGAAATCAACTGAGCAGATCCAATGCTCAGGAAAAATAACTAAATGGGTTGAGATCAGCATTTTTTTAAAAAATGAAATAGGAAATAATAAAAAATTATGAAGTGCATCACACATGGTAGGGTAATTACTGTTCTGTGAAACATTTTCTTGGGCATGTTTGAGTGTATCTGGTCTAAAGGGAAAATTATTTTACCATGGGTCATTATCAAAAGGGTTGAAAGCTATTGTCATGGTGCTTTATCCCCAAAAAACAGACTAATCTGGAGCCAGATTACACCCTCCATCAATCCTAAGGATAGCACTGTGGCTAACGTCATTGGTAACTGCTATGTGTCATCCACCAAGTGTTTTCTAATCCAAAATCAACAAGCTTGGCTATAAAGGACATAAATGAAGGGTATTAGAACTTTATCTTCATCATAAGAAATTTGTGGTCTCTCACATATATGCCACATTTACTTGAATCTATGGATACCATCAATTGAATAAATCTTTGAGTTTGTAAAAAATGAAGGATATTACATTAAATGCTACCATCAACGATAAAACAGCTTCTGATTTTAGAGACGTTTAAACATTAATTTAAAATATGTATGAGACTTGGAATTGGAGAAAATACATTACCTCATTCTAACATTGATCAAAGAAAGTACTAGCTCAGAAAGATGCATAGTTCCAACATGGGTTAATACTAGTAAACATTCAGAACAATTGTCTCTGTTTTTCAGACTCTGGCACAAGACTAAATGAAGACAGGTTCCTTAAATAAGCGACTAGCATGCCCTTTACTCAGATGATTAAATTTTCCCACCTCCATCACAGCACTTCTTCCCTGTCATGCTCTGAATCAGAGCTATCTTCAAAACAATTTTGGGGAAAGAAGTAGCCCAATCCTTCAGGTTACCCCAGCTCCCGATATGACTGTGTGTTATATCACTGTATACACAGTCAGGACTATCTGACAGCTTTCAGAACTTTTTCTAGTCCACCCATATCCTGGTTCATTTTGAAAAAATTTAGGACTCCCAAATGCCTTCATCAGCAATAGTTATGCTGAAGAGTTTCACTGGTAGGAAACCTAGTCTGGGAGAGCACTTCCCAGGGAGCCACTTTTCCAAGGAGCACTTCTTACAAGAGAAGAGTTAGATCAAACTAAACTGTTACAATCGGATTATGCTAACAAGTTAACAGACAATCGGTAACTCACGCAGAATAACACTCATGCCCTTAGACAAATGTTAATGAATCTCAAATTCTCCTCTGCTAATTTCCATCCTTGGATGGATGGCAAAGCAGTTTCAGTGTCATGGAGTACTATTCCAAATGATTGTAGATGGAGCTTTGAAAGGTATACATCTAGGCAAAGAAGTGCTGGTAAGTTTTCTCTTAAATCACATCTCTTAGAAGCAACCTCTTTAAGGGAGAAAAATACCAGATCTTAATGGGAGCCTTGGTCCTAATTATCACACAACCAAGAGAACAGACTGGGGTACAACTGTATCCAGTATGAGAGAAACACAAACAGCATAAATTCCTGCTGATGACAAGAACAGAAATTGTATAATCTTCTGATACTCTGCATTTTATGTATCAGTAAGACCTCCATTTATCCTCCTTTGAAAATATCTGGTCCAGGGAATGACGAAGAGGTCTCATTTCCAATTCCAACTCTGATCCAGTTGTAGTGACTACCTGAATACCACGCTGAGGAGGATTCTGAGATAAATCCCAGAATCAGGAACAAGTGCCAGACCAAAGAAGACCAATCTTCAGAGGGCAGTGAAGACTCACTTGCCATCTTTGATATAACTGAGCACCTAAAACCTACAGTTATAACAAGTGTTTTGAAATTGGGTAACTATGATATGCACTTCAGTTGAAGAATCACTGTAATAGTATTATAATTCAATAAAAAGGTTTAAAATGTGTTCTAGATTCTGTAACCTCTATCCCTATGCAAAAATTTGCAATCAGAAAGCTATGCAGCCAGACCTCATTGAAGCTGCTCCCTGAAAGAAGGCCTCCAATGTCACGATTTTAATATTGTGCCTTCAATTTTATAAAGGATCCATAGGAGATAACCATTTCAATAATGTTTTAGTGCCTTTCCAAAATCACTGTAGAAGACATCATTCACTAAGTTACTCAGTGTCCCTTAAGTAAGGATCCAACTGATAAAGTTCTTCCAAGATTCAGTGCCAGAAAGTTTCTTTTCAGAAGGGCTTGCATGCCGCTTCTCAGCAGATGAAAGCTATACTACCTTAGATGCTTCCCCTGACATTTAGAAGCTCAGAGCTAAGTTTACTGCTCAATTGCTGTTGAGCGCTGAGGACCTTGTTTATTCAGGTTTTCTTACTTTTAAATAGTTTCTGATCTTTTAAAATTGTATCACTTTGCAGTCTTTCTGGAGCAAAGTGAGATAAAAATTCCAATTCAAAAGTACCTTGTAGACACTGAAACTGAGTATCTATGAAAAGAACCCCAACTCATGATTCTACTAAACCATGTGACAAATCTTAATCATAAGTTGACTCAATCATTCAGACTTCTGCTACTCAGAGATTACACTGTTAAGTTCTCTAAGAGCAACCAACAAGAAAAATTTGGGGTAAGGGCTAATAAATGTGGAACAGAATTGAGCAACAGGAGACAAACCAAATTTTTCTTTTTCCCAATCAAAGCATACCACCCAGAACTGGATGTCTCCACGGAAGCTCAAGAACAGAAATATCACCACCTATTTCTTAATTAAAGTATCAATATACAATCTTATGTTAGTTTCAAATGTACATCACAGTGGTTCAACAGTCTGTGATCAACTTATATTGTGATTGTGGAATTTTTGTGCCCTTTTATCGCCTACACCCTCCCCACCGTACCCATCCTAACCCCTCACCCTTGGTAACCATTAGTCACTTCTCAGTGGCTGTGAGTCTACTGCTGTTTTGTTTCTTCAGTTTTGCTTTGTTTTTATACTCCACAAATAAGTGAATATGGTATTTGTCTTCCTCCACCTGGCTTATTTCACTGACATAGTACCCTCTAGGCCCATCCATGTTGTTGCAAATGGTAGGATTTGTTTTCTTTTTATGGCTGAATAATTCCATTGGGTATACGTTCATTGCCACCTCTTCTTTATCCATTCATCTATTGAAGGACACTTAGGTTGCTTCCATATCTTGGCTATTACAAATAGTGTGGCAATAAAGGGGTGCATATATTTTTTCAAATCAGGGGTTTTGTTTTCTTTGGGTAAATTTCTAGGTCAAATGGTATTTCTATTTTTAGTTTTCTGAGGAAGCCTCCACAGCAGTTGCACCCATTTACATTTGAGGAATAAAGTATCACCACTTCTTTAGACCCAGAAGGGTTAGGTAGTAAGCTCAAGGTTATACACTTCTCAAGTTGTAGGGCCAGCATAGGAGAAAGTTCTGCAGGTTCCCAAATTTCAGCAGAGCAGTTACAGGCACAAGCTCTCAAGCCAGACTCCCTGTGTTATCATGGATTTACCACACACTAATCTATGGCCTTGGGCAAGTTATTCAAGCTTTCTGTCCCTCAGTTTCCTCAGGTGTAAAGTTGAGATAACAGTGCCTATCTCATAGCGTTCATTAGAGGTACAAATGGGCTATGCACAGCACATAGAAAAGAATCTGGCAGCAATACAAACTCAAAAGCCAATTATTATTACTCCCCTTACTATGTCTTCTATAATACCCTTTACCGACAATTCCAGTATCCACATTCTCCAAGCAGAATTCAGAAACTTTTTTTCTGCAAAGTATCTCCATTTTTGATGACCACAAACACTTTAAATAAGGAATCAAACCTTTCATCTTTTTCCTTCCGAGACATCTTTCTATTATCAGCTTCAGAAAGTTTTCGAGTCACTTCTTTGGAAACAGCATCCTCCCTCTTCTGTGCTACTCTGGGAGGAAAAGAAAAAAAGTCTCCATATGCTCCAGGAGTGGACATGACGCTCTCAGAAACACTCTGTAACTTGTATCTTATATTGGCAACTGTATGACACTTTACATTTCAAAAAGTAAGCAGGATATAAAACCCCAATTTATTACACTGTATTAGCCAAGAGAAGGAATGCAAGAAACTTCCAAGATACGGTTTATTATGTGTTTTGATTCCTATTTAAAAAGGGGTAATTTTTCAAAATTTAGGTACTTACCGTGGAAATAAGTCAAATTCTGAAAGCACAATTTAGTTTGAATCAGTGTTAATTCTTTTGTTTTAGCCTATAATTTAACTGTTCAACATGTAATTTTGAAAAGGCATTATTAGCAAACAATATATGAATCGATTCCAATAAATAATAGGAAAGAACACTAGGCTTAAAAAACAAAAGGGAATTAACAGCTATAACATCTTAAAGTAATGCTTTTAACTCCACTCCAAAGGACAATTTCACTATGAAGAAATAACGCCAGATGGTCAGGGAGCAACCATACAACTTATAATTAAATAAACCACTGGTATAAGAGTCACACCAAAAAGAACATGGAATCAAACAGAAAAGGTTGGAACTGTTATTCAAGAAACCAGATCAGAATCTTCAATGACAAGTCAGATAAAGAAAAAAAGTTACACTCATTAAAAAAATCTATAAGGTGACTGCTAACGAAAGAGAGAATAAAATTCAAACTATGATGAAATACAAAAAGCTTCCTAAAGTTTGTGACACTTAAGTTCAGTGTGGTATATTTTCATAGTACAGGAGAAACTGATTAGAAAAAGTAGTAACTGATCACAAGCAAAATATATTACCTGCAAAGTCCCACTATGAAAATAGTCAACATGATATTGACATGTATTAAGAGTAACAGGATATGGAACACAGAGATATAAATCTATTTACTCTATGTTCAGTTAATCAATTCCTCCTTACCATGCTATATTTAGTTCTGATCACTGTACTGAGGCAAGCTATAGTGAAATCAAGATGGACTCCTGATAAGACAGCCCAAGATCATTCAAGGCAATAGTTTTCAACTTTTTTTAAGCACAAGAGCTTCTGGAATACAAATTAAGCACAAATTTTGGCTGGTTTCACCTATGTCTCCATTTCTAACTCTCATTCAACAACCAAATTAGAATTGACATTGTTAAAAAGACAACTTTAGTTTAATATTTTTATTAGTATTAGCTTCAACTAATTTTTCTACAAATTGACAACTTAAGGGAGAAAAATTGGTTTGTTTAAGAAAAACAGACAAGCAAATATAGTCTGAAACAAAGAAAAAGGAAGCTAAGGTGGCAGACAGCTGTCTTCTTAAGAGATACTTTAGGACACTACAATGTACTTTTTCTGCCAAATAACCAGCTTCACCTGACTCATTTATTATATGAGAGCTCTGCTCCAAAGAACAGAGACTTTTATCCCTGAACCTCTCTAGCAGACCAGATACTCAACAAGCATTTCTTGAACTTCACATAAGACCACTTTTTCTAAGAAAGACCAATCGATAAGAAATGGACATCATTTACAGCAGAAATGGACATCATTTACAGCAGAAACCCTTAACTGAACAGAGAAAAGATTTTTCACACACACACACAACCACAAACACTCCCCTACCTCATCAGGATGCTAGGACACAGGAATAAACTATTTTCAAAAGAGTTGGCTATCTTCTAGCATCTTTAGTACTAGTACTCAATCATCTGTCCAATTGACAAGTCTTCCTGAAGAGAATGAACCAAATTAACTGATTAATTTCTCCTCTAGGTCTAAATTCTATGTTCACCTAATAGAGGCATAACAGCCTGTTAGGTTTATTACAACTCAAGAAGCCTTACCCTCTCTCTTAGGGATCTTATCAAATGAACATCACTCAGTGCTGAAAACTCTAAAACAAAACAAAAGGCCACTCCTATAGCCTAGCATTTAGCCAACTGAGATAACCCATAAAATCAACTGTCTTTCTTCTGTTATTTTATTATGTCAGTATATCAGAATTTTCCCAGAATTAAAAAAAAAAACACAAAAATACCATCTCTTTAATTTCTTAAAGTAAAAACATCTTTGCAAACATTTTTTAAAGTCACACCACCTTTAAAATACAATTACTAAGGGTTCTGTCACTCCCAACCTCCCCAACACTGCACACATTATGTGCCAGACATTATGCTTAATAGGTCACACACATCATTATGTTTAATCCTCACAATCTATGAGGTGCCATGAGTACCCGCATTTTATAACTCAGGATCTGAAGTCTAGAAAGGTAAGATGTATGCCTAAGGCTATCTATAGGTTTAAGAGTGGCAGAGCTCAGGCTGGAATCCAGACTGTCAGCTCCATCTTCCTGCTACCACCACCACCTACCCTCATTCACCAACTGCCTGGGTCTTTGAGCCTTAACCATCTTGCAAATCTGCAGGAGTTTCTATGTCAGTGGCAACACCTAATATTAAACCAAAACTATGACCAAAAAAATTCCACTCTCAAGAGTCTGTTAGGCTATAAGTCCTTGAAATTTTATTTAACTAAATGTAACATTAACTGTTGTAAAGGATATAAAACAGAAGACATGGCAGTTGCCCTGAAAAAGCCTAAAGTAGAAATGAGAAGATACAAAGAACATGACTTTGACTCCAAAAAGGTAAATGAACAATGTCATGCAGAACAAGTGAAAAATTCCAAGTTCTAGAAGAACTGAGTCTCGAGGGGATCATCACAAACGAATGGGATGTGTAAGACACCCACTTCGGAGGGCCTCACTATCCAGAGGGCCACACCTCAGCAGCAAGGCTGCCCAGAAGAGCAGAGGTCAAGATGGGCTGCATCCTGGAATGGCATTTCGCAAAGAGGCCTGCCACGCAGACAGAGCACAAGGATGACCTGATGACTGGGCTGGTTTAGCAGAAGCACAGTCACACACAACCCGAGTTCCTATCATCCAGAACAATGGTAGAGAAGCTATTGAGGCTCCTTTCAGCCACTAAGGCAGTTTCTGGCCTCCTTACAATAAATCCCTGTGGAGATCTTCTCAACATCTCTCTATTCCTTGTCACCAGAAAGAGCCTAACGCAGGAACAAACCTAGGGAAAGAGCAGAGAGCACAAGTCACTTGCAAAGGATGGCAAAAGATGAGTCAGAACAGCCAAGACCCAATCCTAAAAGAGGAGGCCAGACTGGTAGGAGGTAGATGATTTGCATTCCAGGACCCTAAAATTTGAACTTAATACACTTAGAAAAGATAAGGCCATGTTGCATTAAGAGAGTGACATGATAAAAATGATGGCAAATGAGGATGACTACATATTCTGCATCTTATAAGACAAGGATAATACCCATACCTCACATGGACAATGTAAGAATTACGTAGAGTAACATGCTTTACTGAGTGCATGGCAGGGGGAGCCATGAACTTTTGTGTTAAGGTTGCAGACTGCTCAAGTAATCTGAGAGAAAACCATATCCAAATTATAGTGGGAATTGTGCAAATGAAAAGACAATGTGCACACAAAGCATGCTGGTACTTCAAGGGTCATCAAAATTCTAACTGCCTTTAAGAAAGCACTTCCAAATGCAGGACCAAGAAGGCTACACTGAGGAAGTAGAGAAATATCCTGCTATCCTGAATGGAACATCAGAGTGGGGCATAAAAGCAGCTTCAAAGGACACCTCTGCCAATTAAACATTAATTTATAGCTCCTTCCCATGAGGATCATGGCACTGTGAAATAATGTTACTATCATTCTTTAAATCTAGAATACCCCCCTTTTTTAAGCTTTATGAAACCAGAGTATATAACTGCTTGTAATTAATGTATAAATATATTGTTGTGAGCTGTCATTGTACTTCTTACAAAGGCTATTGTTAAAATAATGATATATTTTATATGTGATCTTAAGGTAGAGGAAATCTGGTAATCTTTTACATTTTCATATACTCACAAGAAAAAGTGTAATTAGCATTACAAATGTCAGTTTAATCAAAAAAAAAACAACACTTCTTTCACATCCAAAAATAGTAGATGGAGAGCCCAGAACAATTCTTTCCAGAGAGAATTCCATTTGGCTTCTGAAATGTTAATTTATTTATAAGTGAGTTTGTTTTTCTGATAAAACCCATGATTAAGGCTAAGTGCTTAAGTGTTCTAACAGCCTCAAAAACCTACTTCTATAGCAGTGTTACAAGTATTGTCTCTGCTTCAATTAGTGAATAATTATTCACAGCACTAATGTGCCTTCCCTCCAAAATATATTTATATATATAGCTCAAATGAATGCTTACTGAAACCTATACACACAAATGGTCTTTAAGAGGACATCCTACTATGTAAAAATGCAACATGTAATACATACTTTGAGAAATATACTTACTTGTGCTTGAGAACAAATTTCACATTTTTGTATGCAAAGGCTACCAAGTAAGTGCTTACTAGGGTCATCACACTATAAAGAACAGCAGACTGAATAAGATCCATATGCCATATTCTCCAATACAACCCTGAATTAAGACAAAAGGGAGGGGGCACAAAAGGGAACAAAAATATTACCACCCAGTTACAAGGGCGTGCTGAGTTAATCAGAGCTAAGGCCAGTAAAATACAGCCTGTGTTACAGAATCCAACATAGTATAAGGATCTCCAGAAGCGGGATATCCAATATAAAATTACAATCTCAAACTCTTCCAGTTCAGAACACTTGAAAAACATAATCTTCCCATTACCAGTCCAGATGAGATGTCTGCTTCTCCTAAAGTGAGAACAAACTCGGGCTCAACAAAATCACAATTCAGAGTTCAAATTTCATTCATGCTAACTCTAAGCACAGGCCATTCTAAAACACCACGTGCAGTCCCAACACAGTTTACATGCTGACGTGGCTGTTATCTGATATCCAGGCGGTACTGTGCGCGCAGGGCTTCACACTACGTTAACTGTCCATGGGTTTTATAAGGCCGAAGGATAAAATACATCTGGATTTATCTTGTTTACTTTTTTCACAACAGTGCAGTTCTGTGTGGGGCAGGAGATACAAATTCGGGAAGCCGGGCTCGAAAAACAACCCGGCCAAGTCTGCAAGGTTGTTCGACCCAAGTGAGAATTCTAAAATCGTCCTAATAGGATTATTAAAAAGTTGAAACAAGGTAGATCGAGAGCCCTTGGCACTGGTTCAACTCGCGCATCCAATTAGAAAATGATGTGTGTGAAGCAGTTCATGTAAAGCTAACACTTCTAATTCATCGTGACAGTACATGGGAGCCTGTCCCTCAACCCAATTCATTAGTTTCCCAAAAATAAGTAATTGTAAAGTGTAAAATCTCGTATGGCAAACCACAGTTATGGCCGAGGGGGAAAGACAGCAGGCTATATGCATGAGTGCTAACACAAGATCTTAACCCGGTACTTTCTTAAAATACAGATTTGGGGCCGCCGTCCCACACCTAGAGGCTCACAATATCCGGGAGCGGGGCCCGGGAACAAGCGTACTTTTTTAAAGCACCACAAGTGACTTTCCTTGATGACCCCCCACCACCACCTTAAACGAGAACACTGAGACCCACAGAGGCTACATGCATTCCCCGAGCTCGGGGCGAGCTGGCGACAGCAAGGGCCTAGCGGTGCCCCGGCCCCGCCACGTCTCCTCCCTGCCCTAGCCGCCCCCGGCCTTCTCCGCTCGCCTGCTCCCAGCGCTCACAGATGGGGATGGCGGACACGATGAAGGCGTTCCCGAAGAAGAGTGCGGAGGACTTGGCCGACAGGTTGCGGCTGAAATCCTGCAAAAGCAGGTCCTCCTCCGACTGCTGCTTGGAACCTCCTTTGGGAGCCATGGTAGAGCTGGAGCCGGCAGCCGGGAAGGCAGTGCAGGCGCCAAGCTGGGCCGAGACCTCTGGCCCCGCCCCCACGGCCGCCGTATCCGATAACGACCCGTCACCGCTGCGAGCAGAGGCGGGACCCGGACCGGCCGGGAGGAAGCTTCCCCAGGATTGGCCAGCCTGGAACAGCTACGTTTGTGATTGGGCTATCGGGCCAGACTTCCGGATTCCTGGCAAGCCAATTGACTGGTCAGCTTGAAAGAGAAGGCAGGGATTTGTAGTTTAGTGGGTGCCTATTTTTTTAAAAAAAATGAACGAACTTTATTGACCTGCTACTTCTCGTATGCTGTGAGGTGTTCCAAGTTGGAATTCCAAAATAACAAGCTTTTCTGATCCTGAGTCATATATTCATTGATTCAACAAGCTGGTACCCTCTGTGTGTACCCAGCACTGGGGCACTGGAGGAAGAAGAGGAGAAAGATAGGTATAACTAAACCTGTCAAATATCTTCTCCTTTACACATCCATAATTTCATTAAATATCCTCAAGAACCCTATGGTATACATATCATTATCCCCATTTTGCAGGTGAAGAACTTGAGGTAAGAGACCGGCAGTGCTGGGCTCCAGGTTGTGGGCTCTTCTCAACAAAATAATAGGCTATCTTTGTACCAAAAAGAAGGCATTTTTGCTTTTAAAGAACTCGTGGTCTCTATGATTTAACTTATTTGTGGAATATAAAAATAAAGCGAAAGCAGAAAGAACAAAACAGCATTAGGTTCACAGACACTGAAACGTGAGTAGTGATTACCAAGGGGAAGTGGAGTGAGGGGAGGGGGACTGCTGAACCACTGTGATGTACATTTGATAAAAAATTTTTTTAATTGAAAAAAAAAAACTCGTGGTCTGATGAAAACAATATTTAACTTTTGTCTAGTACATTTACAAATTACTACACTTATGTTACTTTGTTTCAGCTAGATCTTTAGAGTAACGTGGACTCCAAAGCCATGCTAAATTAAACATAATACTGAGTAAAGACAACATGTTGGCTGGACAGACCTCCTCTTGCTGAGAACGCCAGTGTTTTTCCCAGAATTGTATCTCGGAAGCAAGAAAGACTGAATCCAGCAAACAAGAGTACAGAGCAACCAGCGAAGCTCTTTTAATGAATGAAAAGAGAAAGATCCTCCTACTCAGGAGAAGCCCCAAGGGAGGATACATCAGGGCTGTGTTGTCTGTGGTTTATATTGCCTCCTGAGAGGAGGAGGTCCCACCCTCAGGGGATGAAATAAAGAACTGAACTAATGACATAACTCACTCTTAAATGGCTGAAAGTACAATCATTTGCATAGGGCAAAACCAAACAGTTGAGGTCTATCTAAGTGTACTTTTGAATTGCTGAATTGTAGTGGAGCTTTTTGGAACTTACAAGGGCTCTGAACTCTATCTGCCTGCATCCCTCTATTACCTGCCTCACTCTGAAACTCAGAAAATTGAATATGCTATTAAAACAACTTCATGCCATTTATAACCACCAAATTATTGTTTTTTCTTGAAAAAATAATGCTCGACCACTTCTTGGTGACAAAAGAGCAAAAGCTTCTTTCATCTACATTACCAACATTAGACAAAATTTCATTGACCTCCAGCTTTTTTACCAACAATTTGTAGATCTTTATTCCTCACTTTATCCAAATTGTAATTGACCACAGCTTCCATTCTAATGGAACTTTTCGACTTCAACTTTTTCAATCTGTCTCTATATAGGTACTGTTAGGGGGTGAGTTTGTTCTCCTCACTTCTTATCCCCACTGCAACAAAGAATTGAATGCAGAGACACAGTAGTGAAGTGGAGCAAAAGTTTAATTTGAATACACTCTAAGGCAATAATGGGCCAGAGTCAAGGTAGACATAGGCAGGTTACTTGAATAAAGCAGAGGGGAAGGGGAAGCTCATTGATGGGAACTTGCAAGCTCAAATCAAAGCTCTCAGTAGTCTCTCCCTACTTATCCGAAGTAGAAAAGAGAGAGTGAAGATTTGTGCTTAATAACAGTCTGGAAAATAGAATGAAATAGCAAAGTGACAAAGACACCACTGGAAGAGCACAGAGACAAAACATAGTAAGTTGACAGGTACAAAGTCTTTTAAAAATACACACTCCAAGAAAGGGGAGTGTGGGCAACCTCAGAGAGGAGGTGCACTTGAGGCTTTTAGGACTCTGTCTTTCAGACTTTCAAGAATGAGATAAAGGTAAAGGGTTAGGGGGACATCAACTTACCATATGGTCTCATGATATCTATCTCCAGTGAGAGACAGTATGTTATTATCCATAGTCAGTCCCCCAGATAATTCTGTAGGATAAACTTCCTGTTCCTCTGCAAGATAATGGCTAACCCCCAACACTGGGAACATCAGTTAAGACCTCTTGCCTTGCCTTAAGATAGGTTGTTGGCTAATTATGAAAGAATATGCCAGGAATCTAACTTCCCAATTCTCTTTTAAAATGGAATCTTGGCCTAAAGTTCTGCCTGTTCTTATTATGATATTCATATCTTGGCATTTTTAGGAAGATTAATCGTGATACTTGTCCCATGCCTCTGCTCACTCTCTCTTGCATTAGCTAGAGCAAGTCTCAAAGTCAGCCCAGATTCAGAGCCTGTGGAATGAACATACATTGCAAAGGGTGTTAACTCTGTTAGTCCTTTCTGGCTCTCTGGTTTTATCTGATTAACTCCCTGAGTTCTTGGTGTGCCCTTTTCATTGCTCATATCTGTCTTTTAGCTAAACAGGCACTACAGTGAGTTTTCCTGAAATATAAATCCCCCTGTTATCTACACAAAGTATTCCCAAATGCCAGAAATGCCAGAACTTTTCACCAATCATAACAAAAGGGAAGAAAAAATAGACCATATAGTTTTTCAGAAAGCTAAACTATTATTTTTCAGAAAACTAAAAATACTAATTTTATAACTTTACATTTATGTCCTTTTTTAATGTTAAAATGCTTTCTTTTATTATGTGGTGGTGATAGAGAATAAACTCTTATTTTCTCTTTCAACATACACCTCTCAGTTTTTCCTACCTTAGTAAATCACACCCCTTTTTACCCAATTGCTTGGACTAAAATGCTAGGTTTCAACACTAATTCCTTCTTTCACTCTCCATCTGTGACCATTTCATCAGCAAAACTTTTTGGATCTGTCTCTATAACTAGATTTCTTGTTTGTCATTTATAAACCAAAGATACAAAAAGAAGATAAAAGATAATATCAGAAAATTATAAAATCAGAAAGGACAAAAATTCATCAAGACATTTAAAAGAAAAAGAGGAAGAATATAAGAAATAAGGAATGATGAGATCAAAAAGAACTATACCTGAGAAAAATATTTAAACAACTACTATAGGAAAAAAAAGTTTGAAACATGAAGTAGATAGAAATGTTAAAATAGAAATGATCAAAAGGAGTTAGCTGAGAAAAATTAATACTATTTGTAAACCAAAACTAAAAACTAAAGATAATAAACATATTTTGCCTATTTCAGTATAGTTGAACTCTATGATGGAACATATGGGCTTGACTCTATGTCAGCCTAATTCTAATCTGTGAATTTCAGGCTTAATATTTCCCTTATATCACATTACACTTACCAAATCGGACAGAAGGAAGGAAGGAGTAAAATTTATTGCTGGCAAAGATATGGATAACAAATTTTTCTCATCCACTGCCAATGACTTTGTGGAAGAAAATCTGGCAAGTTAAAATTTAATATACCTTTCTGTGGCAGACACTGCAAGTTGCTTAGCAAATAAAGAAAACCACTGCTAACTTTCCACTGGGACCTTATGAAGAATAACAAATGGATCATCTAGGGCTACTTTGGGGGTGGGGATGAGGGGAAGCTCTCTGTTATAAAGTCCACTTGCAATGCAAATACCATATGAAAATAACTTTTGAAAGAGGAGATGAAACACATATTGCTCTCCATGTATATTTTAAAATCCCACCTGAGAGATGATTGACTCAGCCAAACTATGTATTTCAGGCCCTAGTGTGTGATTAGTTCCTCAGTTCATGTATTCATTCAGCAAATATTTATTGAAAAGCTTCTCTATGGAAGGTACTGTACTAGACTATTGGAAGTATCCAAATAACAATCATGACAATTATGATTACAGTAACTAATATTGATTGAGTTTTGTTGTGTGTCCAGCTCTATGCGCGAGGCCCTTCGCATACATCACCTAATCTTTACAGCAACACTATGAGATATGCATTATTATTATCCCCATTTATCAGAAGAAGAAACTGAGCTGAAGATTAGTAAAGTAATTCACTTAAGATCCCACAGCTAGTAAGTGGTGGGTCAAGTCGTGAACCCCAGACAATATAAGGTGTGGTCTCCTCTGTACCAGTGTGTGGATAAAATGAGAGTTCCTGTGGCCAGGATTCTCACCTGGCCCTGGCTGACTAGCTCACTGCACACCTGTGAGCAATACATGGCTGTTGACTCTATATAAAGAGCTATACTCAGTGCTCTGGGTGCAACACAGTGGCAGGGCTGCAAGGCTGCAGGAGAGCAGAGCAGAGGCTAGAGTGGTGGCAGCGCCAAGGACAGAGGCCCAGAGGACGGCTGTGTGGGACAACTGTGCAGAGAGGCCCAGAGGATGGCTGTGTGGGACGGCTGTGTGGACAGAGGGGCCCAGAGGCAGAGACCGGCTTGCTGCATGCAGACTTGCTCTGAATGAATGGGATTTTAGTGACTGACCTGCCACCTGGAAATAAAGTTGGGTATAACCCTTTCACCCCAAGAACGTTTTGTTGTCAGTTTCTTTGGTCACATTGAATCCATAGCAAGCTTGCCCAGGGCTGAACCCATTGGCAAGACACAGTGCAATCTCAGAATCTAAGTGCTTGCCCCCAAAAGCCCTATTCTGAGCATACACATTAGGGTCGTTTCTTGTGTACCAGTTGCTATGGCTGAGTCATGTCACACTGCAGCTCTGGCTAGCACATCCATAGATAGGATCCTGGACCTAACCCATAGGCAACCTTGGTGAGCAGGCTTGAGCTGTCCATAGTGGACT